TTTTAATTTTCGCGCTGGGCCAATAGGGTATAAATAGGGCAGATTTTGTTCATTCTGGGTACGGTTCTTTGATGGGTGTTGGTCTACTGCTAGCTGCGAACTCTACTACTGATCTCTAACTGTATTTAGGGGCCGTTCACAATTATCAACATTTTCACAAGCGTACAAACCGTACGCTGGGGGGGGGGGGGGGAGGGGAGGCGGTTAATGCCCGCCTAACTTTTTTTTTTTTTTAAATGTCGATCTGTTTTCTCGCCCGTCGCCACAGCCGACAGCAGCAACCGATGCCGATCGAGCACTTGCCAAGCCGGTCGCGCCCCGCGCCCTGCATCATGCCCCGCATTGCATCCCATGAACGTATTGTGTACAGCAGGGGCGGCATTGTCCTACACACGTACATGTACATGTACATGAAAATGTACTGTACATGTACATGTATAGTCCATATCCACTGCGTGTTTTTAACGGCCGGACAATAAATATTCTAGCCGCACTGTTGACTTGGATCAATTGTTGAAATTCCTCATTCGACAAGGATGTATTGTCCACAAGAATCCGACCAACAAATACATGGAGTTTGTAAATGCTTTTGTGTTTGTGAATGATCAACGCAAACGAGCAGATGTCGTGTGTGAGGGCCAGAGATTGTGGCGGAATGCAGACCGTGAAAAGCTGTTCGACGAAGTCACATGCAAGTGTCTATATATAGACTTGTGTGAAAAAAAATCAACATTTTTTTCGTACACTTTTAGGGGGAGGGGGGGTCTTGCAAAAGTGTACTCTTTGTAAACTTGTGAAAATGTTGATAATTGTGAACGGCCCCTTACACATAGTGCTTTGGCCAGTTTGGGGAGCTGAGATCTTTACAACTTGAGTTGGGGGAGCCAACTTGATTAAATTAAAGTTTTGGGAAGCAAAGTTTTGGGGAGCCAACTTTTGGGGAGCCAACTTTTGGGGAGCCAACTTTTGGGGAGAATAACTTTGGGGAGCCAGAGTCGGAGAGCAGATATCTAGACAGTTAGTAACTGTGATTTACATCAGTTGTAGCTGATATCTTTAATTATTAAGACTCTGACAGGAGTCAGGGGATCTTGAGATATATTTGGAGTCAGGCTGCTGAGTCGGATTTCAACGAGGAATATCAAGAGAGGCCTGGGGCCTAAGTGTATTTTGTTGAGAAGATTTTATTGCCCGACCACTCAATTAGAACACATTGGGGGGGGGGGGGGGAATCACAGAAATTTGAAAAAAATGTATCACTTGACACATGTTTGGAAATTGATAGAATGCGAGAAGGTTGTCACCCATTTGTGCATTCCCAAGTTGCAAACCAAGTACAATTAGAGTGCATGGGGAGGAGGGATTTAGAGAAATTTCCAAAAATGTGTCACATGACACATCTTTGGAAATGATCTTTTCTTTTCTTCAAATTGACAGCATGTCAGAAAGTTGTCAACTATTCGTGGATAACAAACTAAATACAAAAATTAGAACATATGGGGGGATTTACAGAAATTTCCATTGACGCAATGGGGAAGGGGGCCAGATTCACAGAATTTTCCTTAATAACTCCTATGAACATCTATGGAAATTAATAGCATGCAAGGTTTGGACCCATTCGTGGATTCCCAAATTGCAAACCAAGTACAAATTAGAAGCATGGGGGAGGAGCCAATTCACAGACATTTTCAAAAGTGTGTCACTTGACACGCAAGAAGGTATGCGAGAAGGTTGTCATTCATTTGTGGCTTCCCAGATTGTAACAACGCATTGGGGGATTTACAAAAATTTCCAAAACTGTGTCACATGACAAATCTTTGGAAATGATCTTCTTTTGTTTTCTTCAAATTGAGAGCATGGCAGAAAGTTGTCAACCATTCGAGGATTCCCCAATTGCAAACTAAGTAAAAATTGAAACGCATTTTGGAGGTGGCAGATTCACAGAAATTTCCAAAACTGTGTCACTTGACACATCTTTGGAAAGGATCTTATTTTGTTTTCTGCAAATTGACAGCCATGCCAGAAGGTTGTCAACCATTCGTGAATTAGGTACAAATTAGAACACATAGGGGAGTAGGATTCACAGCAATTTCCAAAAATGTGTCACTTGACACACGTTTGGAAACTGATAGCATGCGAGAAGGTTGTCACTCATTTGTAAATCGCCCGAATGCAAACCGAGTACAAATTAGAGCACATGGAGGGATTTAAAGGAATTTCCAAAAATGTGTCGATTGACACATTTGGGGGGGGGGGGAGGGAATTAGAACACATAGGGGGGGGGGTCAGATAAACAGAAATTTCCACAAATGTGCCTCTTGACACATGTTTGGAAATTGACATCATGCAAGGTTGTCACTCATTCGTGGATCCCCCAATTGCAGACCAATTACAAATTAGAATGCATGGGGGAAGAGCGGATTTACAGAAATTTCCAAAAATGTGTCACTTGACAAACGTTTGGAAATTAGCAGCATGCGAGAAGGTTGTCACCCATTTGTGCATTCCCCAATAGGTCTTGTAAAATGATGTCATTTCCTACAGACCAGCCGCGTGCATCAACATACTGAGCATCCAATTGCATAACGCGTATCGGCCGCGTTGAAATTCGAAAAACATTTCAAGCAATCAGCGCACATGTTTGGAACATTTTCAACACTGCACAATGCATGATATATTGCGTAAAATACGCAGTTGCAGCTCTCCTACAGATTTGGACGTCATTGAGCAAGCCATATTGCAAACCAAGTACAAATAGCAATGCATGGGGGGGGGGGGACCAATTCACAGACATTTCCAAAAATGTGTCACTTGACACATGTTTGGAAATAATAATAATAATAATAATAATGAACATTTATAAGGCGCCGATATCCGCCAAGCAAGACGCTCATGGCGCACAATACATACAAAACAATTACAGTATAAATTAAGTTCAATTTGAATAACAGTAATTAGTGACAGAAGTAATAAACATCAACTCATTAAACACAAAAACGTGAGGTAAACATATGAGTTTTCACAGAAGATTTAAATACAGACAATGATGACGACTGGCGAATTTCAAGGGGTAGATTGTTCCAGAGTTCGGGAGCGCGAGCGGCGCTTGAGAAAGACCGGTCTCCCCAAGAGTGATTGGTGCAGGGAACAGTAAGCAATAGCGCTCCGGCTGAACGAAGACTACGTGACGGCTGATATTTCGTGATCATGTCTGTTATGTAGTCCGGTGAAGTTCCTTGTAGTGACTTGAAAGCGAGAAGGAGGATCTTGCGATCAGTGATGGGGAGCCAGTGAAGGGACTTGAAGACGGGGGGTGATGTGAGTGGTGCGTCTGGATACAGTGATGAGGCGAGCAGTGGCATTTTGGAGGCGTTGAAGTTTGTTATCCGGTGGTGTGGCAGGTTATACATGAGGGAATTACACAAATCTAAGCGCGAAGTTACACATGCATGGACGAGTTGCTCAGTGCCCGTACGATTTAGATACTTCCGAATAAAGCCAATATTACGGAGATGAAATCTGACTGATTTTGACACTGTTGATATCTGATCAATGTGGGACATGTAGGGGTCGAAAGTGACACCTAGGTTGCGACACTTGTTGGAAGGATGGATGCGGGAATCTCCAGTCCTAATGCTGGTGATATTGAACTTGGCAAGTTGTTGTTTTGAGCCACACAGGATAAATTCAGACTTGTTGTCATTCAATTTGAGACTGTTTGTCATCATCCATGTCTTGATCTCATCAATGCAAGCCTCAAGATTCTCCAGGGCAGACACAGCATTGGGTTGAGATGGATTGAAGGGTTGATACAGAACAGAGACTGGTCAGTGTAGTTTGTGTTGGCGGGGTGGGGGTAGAAGTATCTGTATCTGGCACAAGGGGAGGTAGTGCATCACGAATTGAAGAAATCTTGGACGTGAAAAAAACGGCTGAAATGGTCAGCCAGTGACTTGTCGGAATCGTACTTGTGGTAAAGAAGATTCCTTATTCCTATGGAGAGGCTTGTTGGCGACACGAAACAGTTGTTTTTGATCACCGGAACACTTGGAGACTATTTCTGAGTAATGGGTTCTTTTGGCCTTATGGATCAGCGAGATCACATGCTGGCATTGTTGGTGATGTAGTTGGCGGTCAATCTCGAGTGAGGATGCATGCCACCTGTGCTCAAGCTGTCTTCGTCTGTGCTTAGCTTGCAACACCTCATCAGTGTACCAACCGGTGTCGGGCCGAAAAGAAATGACGGAACTCGTACTCAGGCAGCAAAGTACTCATACTCGAATAGCAGTACTTGGGGGAAATGGTATAGCTTGACTTTATACACCATGGCCTTATTTTATCAATACTTTCAGTTTGAAATGGTTGATTGGCTTGTGGAGAAATCAAAGTTTCCTGATTTTCCTCTGTGCACGTCCAGACAAACACAACAGCTAGCCGTGATTGGGTCTGCATATCGGTCTGACTGGGTCTGGGCCAATTATTACGCACAATCAACCATTTGCCATATGGCTGTATTCGGAATACTACTACTTGTACTCGTACTCGGAAGTAAAGTACTCGTACTCGGAAGTACAAGTACTCATACTCGGAGACCTGTTCTTGTACTCGGAGGTCAGTGTTGTAGTCGAGACCTGGAAGTCCGAGACTGAGACCGAGACCGAGACCTGGAGGTCCGAGACCGAGACCGAGACCGAGACCTTGAGGTCCGAGACCAAGACCGAGACCTGAAGGTCCGAGACCAAGACATCGAGACCACATGTGTAAATTACATACATGTAATAAAATTAGACACATAGTAATTGAAATGAAAGTCTTTTATTGATGTAAAACAAACTGAGTATGTCTTGTGCTGTTAGATAATTACTGTTAAATCCTTTGTGTACTTGTTTTACAATAATACTGTACTTGATAATACAATAGTTATTAACAAACATTTGTTCTGTCGGATTCTGGAATGTGCCAGAAAAGTTTTTTTTTTGGTGTATAGGTACAGGTCCCTTTCACAGAATATCTTCATTGCACTTCAGAAACATCAACATGGACAGCATCTCTGCTGACAAACGTGCACGATGTGGGCGCATGATGATCCCTCCCCTGCTGAAGATTCTCTCCACAGGGGCAGATGATGCTGGCACTGAGAGAACTTTACATGCCAGCTTGTACAGGGTTGGAAGCTTTTTGGCCATGTCCTGCCAAAACTGTAGGGCACTCAGGGTAGATTGAGATTCGCTGACCACCTGAAGATACTTCACAAGTTGCCGCCTAGTTGTGTCCTCTTGTGAAGGCCCCCCACTTCTGTGTCTGTGTCGGCTATATTTGGCGAGGAGGCGTGGAACTTTCGCAGGAACTTCCTCTTCCTCTTCACTTGATGTTGAAATACCATGGGTATGGGGGGGGGCATCTTCAGAAAGAGAGTTAGCATCAGCCTCAGTGATGACCAAATCTAATACAAAACATTAAAATTTAAAAGATTCATTCAGGGTAATAGTTATATTAGTTTTGGTTTCCCATGGTGCAGACAGACTGACGCATTTGTAGAAGCATTTTAAAGCCACAAGATAGGCAATTACCTCTTTTGTGCAGCAACGTCGAAATTGCAAACTTAAATTTTCAACAGCCAATACAAAATCCATACCAGTTAAAATTAGTTTAACTTTAAATTACCTTGCAACATTTCTTTCAACTCCTCCCTGGTGTGTCTGAGGGAATATGCATCTGTGTCAATGACGACATCAATGTCTACCCACTGGAGGCTAAACTGTGGATCAAGGACTGTGGACAAGAGGTATACCTTGTCCACAAATGGCTCGTCATGGCTGCCTTGAGAGGGTTCAGCCATCTGGCAATTCAGGAATATTCCCTTAAATCTTCTCTGTAGTGATGCCAACAGTGTATTGACAAGGGGTCTACAATGTCTGGCACTGTCTCTCTTCTTCTTGAGATGTGAGTTGAGGTCTAGGACGGTTGGGACCACAAGGCTGATTGTAACCATCTGATCACCTGCAATATACACAGCATAAATGCGAAATTGTATGAATAATCAATTATAAACATTACATCAGTTATAACTTTGGCAAACCTTTATTAACTTCTTCATACAATGAGCCCACTTCCTGAAATTTAAGAAATTATATACATGTATTACCCTGGGTTAAATCTGTAGCCTCTCCAAAAGGGGTCAATACATCGCACATCTCGCTCAGCTGGCTCCACTCTCGAGCAGTATACGCTACCTCTGGGAAACCTGTGCCACACACTTCAACCAATGATCTCAGCTCAAGCGTGAGTATGGCCTTCAGTTGATGAAGGGTTGAATTCCAGCGGGTTGTATTGGAAGCTGGAATTGTCCTGTTTGTCCCAAAAGCCTTCTCAAACCTTTAAATTAAAGAATAAGAAGAAAAGCATAATAAATCACGTACAAAAAACAACGTAATGAAAAAAGAAGAAGATTGATTAACTGTACAGATGTCATCGTCAAAAAAGAGAAAAAATGGGTGAATGGTAAAATTTTGACAAAATACTTTGATTGTACTTTCTATTTTAAGTACTATTGACACATGAAAGCATTTGTATCAAAAATTTTCCGGAGAACTCACAATACACTATCAATGCAATGAAGTACATTTTACAGTCATTAACCTAACCCTCTAGGGTGTGCACAGAATCATATAAAAATTGGAGGATTCAGGAACGTTGGGGTTAAAAGGTCAGATCAAGCTGTCTGTACTGCCAATTCAGGGATGTTGGGATATCTTTACTTACTTTTCCTTGAAGACAGTACTGCGATGGAGTAATGTTGACATTCTTGATGCTCTGGCAATGGCAGTAGCCAAACCCCTCGTCTCTTTTAACCCATCGCCAATCACCAACTGCAGACTATGTGCAAAACAGGACAGTCGCTGCTTCGATGAGTTTTCCAGGATGGTGAATACCTGCTCTTCATCTTCTTCCTCAAGGTCATGCCAAATCGCCTCATCCTCGACATTTTCTCCTTCCTCTTCTGCTTCCTCAGTCACATCGGGGGTTGGAAATCGGACCTTGAAAGCTGCCTTCATGTTTGATGCATTGTCCGTGACAACAAAGTCAATCTTGTTCTTGATACCATTCTCCTCAATGATATCATCAAATGCTGTGGCAATTCGCTCACCTGTATGCGCACCTTTGAACCTTTGGCAACTGAGCAGGGCCGATGTCAACTTCAAAGATCCGGTAGTGCTGGGGATAATGGTGTGTACTGTCACTCCCAAGAAAGATCGCATCACTCTATCACTCCAAATATCTGTGGTGATGGACACGGATGATACAGCTCCAAGAATATCTTTGATCTTGTGCTTTCCTGCCTCGTACATCTGAGGCAACCTCACACTTCCAAGTGTGGACCTGGCCATCGGAGTGTATCTAAATTCAAAACAAAAAGTCAACATGGTAAAATAGTTTAATGATTTAGGCTATTGTCTTTTTTTGCGAATGGCTTTAAAAGAAAACTTGTTTTTTTATACAGCAAAGAAATTTAAAAAACCAACAAAATTTTGGAAACTCATGTTCATTTGCATTTTTCATCTTCTCCCTTTTTCGAAGAGACTCTATGAAATTATCTATTGACCTTAATGTTGGTTGTATCTAATCATGCCGCATCATTGTTCAACTACCAGACTCAAAAACTTCAACTGATTTATGTCGCATGAGTTGGTATTGGTATGTATTAAGAAATTTCCCCCCCCCCAAAAAAAACCAATGATTTTTCATTGTTTCTCATGTTCTTGGTCAAGCTTTTTCAACAGTCAAAACAAACATGCTGCATAATTATGAATTACCTTGGCTCTATCACTTTCATGAAGTTTCGAAAGTGGAGGTTCTCAACGATGGACAGTGGCATTGAACATCCAACAATCAAGTCTTTGATGATGGCATTGTTGATCGCTTTCTGACGTGGATGTGTGATATTGTACACCTGTACAGTCTGGGTGCCGGTTGAAGGTCCGGCGCCTGGTGTTAAAAATCCTGTGATGCCCTGCTGGCGGCTGCTTGCTTGAGGCTCTTTACCCATCCGTATGTACTCTTCATACCTTTCCGAGAAAAAGAGTCAACAATTTGTGATAATTATTTTCTTTTCTCAGAAAAAATTTCAAATTAAGTTAATGTTAGAAATAAATGTATTTTTAAAATCTGACAATGCTAAGCAGATGAAAATTTACCAAATCAACGACATGGGCCTAAGGCTATGCCATAAAACAAAATACAAATTAAAAAGAACAGCAAAATAAATTCTAAAATAGATTAAAAAAACAAATAAAATCAGCATTACTTGCGTTATGCTTGTTTAGTTAATGTTTACTAATGGGCAACATGGAGTTATTAATAGGCAGTGGATATTTTGCCAGAGACGGCAAACCTTCAGTAAACGTTAGTTTGCCGGATATGCACTGAACATGCGCAGTTACTGTTTTTTTTTACTTAAAACATTTTCCGGTGACAAATTTTAGTCTGGCTCCATGCCAATATTATGTTGTATTTTTGCATTAACAAGATGGGAATCAGACCATTTTATAATGTCGGACTTTATTTCCCTTTAAAAAAAATCCTCCAGAGCCACAAATCTGAAAAAAAAAGTAATACTCTGCAATAAAATGTTTGAGACATATTAAAATAATAAAAGAAGAATATTCTTATTTATTTGGGGATTGGACAAAAAAACCTTAAAATTGTGGCGGGGGTCAGGATTCGAACTCGAGACATCCCACTCACTAGAGCTATTGCTTAACCACTGCACCGACTGTGCTACACAACTTTGGTGGGAATTTAATACATGTTATAATTCAGCCCTATCTTAAAGAGTACAGCGCCCTCTGTTGATATGGATTGCCGCCGGCAAACCTTTAGTAAACGTTAGTTTGCCGGCGTTACCTCCGGCAAAATATCCACTACCTTATTAATAACATAAGTTGACATCATGATTGAGATTTAATAATTGATTGGGTTTAAATTATTTTGATGGTGAATCTGGTCCTTGCTCTATGACTATGGTCATGCATTGTTATTGGGGGTGTTCTTAATCATAATAATGAAAATTTAAATAATGTTAATTTGTGTTACTTACTTGGCTTTATGGGCACGACTTAAATGCCTAGTGAATGCTGAACTTGTCCCCGATCTCTCCGTGATTCGATTTGTGGTTGAGCAGAAAATGCAAACTGCAGAATGTTTCTTGTTACCTGCTTTGGCGTCCATGATCTCTTTATGGTCCTTAAAACCAAATCTTATCACAGCAGAATTACTGGACATCTTGCGTAAATTGTAAAAAAAAAACAGCGAAAACTTTATTTTATCGTGCTACTCTAGCGAACTCGTACTGTAGTGAATGCTCCTGTTTGCACCATGCGCCATGCACCTGTTTACCATTCACAACGAGTAGTTCGTGTTTTGGTCGTAGCTAGGAACTCGCTCCCAATTTTTATTGAACTCATGATGCGCGCATGAAGCCGATGGCACAAGCACACACAAGATCGCTGCGTGCAAGCTCACACAACCAAAAGCGAGGTTGTCTCCACGTACTGCAAGTTTCCTAACTCTATTTGCTATCTGTTTATCGTGATAAATGATCTCGAACGAATACGGTTAATCGAATAAATGTGTGCAATGTATATATTGTACACAATGGGAAATATTTGCCGGTCTCGATGTCGAGACCAGCAAAATATCGAGACCGCCGTGGTCCGAGACCGAGACCGAGACCGAGACCACAGGGTGCCGAGACCGAGACCGAGACCGAGACCAGCAAAAAGTGGTCTCGAGACCGGTCTCGAGACCGAGACCGGTCTCGAGACCTACAACACTGAGACAGAGTGCACATCCTGTCGTTTCTACTCTTCAATAAATTCAAGTTTTTCCAGTGATTTCTCCGGATCGGACCCTCTCACACAGCCCAACCACTGATAGTTTCGCCGGATAGAGCATATAGAAGCTTCAGATGCACATTCTGGAACTGTGAGTGCCGTGATTTTGATCGAAATTTTTATCCAGGATCTACGATCGTTTCCCGCACTGAGGTTTGGGTTCAACGTAGCGCCAGTACCGGCTATTACGTAACTCACCTCGCCTGAACAATAGATCACACAATAGGACGAGCCTCAAGAATGCAGCCTCTCTGGTTATGGCTGACGATCGCTATCGTCAGTACGTCATATCATGGCCACCTTGCTGACGTCGCCAACCCTGTCATTGCCCAAACCAACCCAGGATTCGTTATCAAGGGGTTTTCCAAAGCCCGCACGTTATACTACAAGAACTCAATACCAACCTTCTCCGCACCCCTACTATCATGTGGTGACATTAACCCAAATCCCGGACCTGGAACAAATCGATCTGAAGCCCACGGGAAAAACATATCCTGCCTTTTATGCAATACCCGCAGTATTCGCAGCAAAGGCCCTGAACTTGAAGCATTCCTCAGTTCAACTTCCCCCGACATCTTGTGTCTCACCGAAACCTGGCTATAACCTGCTGATACTGACGGAGTACTTGGCTTCCCCGATGACTACGTCATTATACGCAGGGATCGTTGCCAAGGACGCCGTGGCGGTGGTATCTTGGCAGCCGTTAAGTCATCACTGTCTCCTACCAGGCTGTGCGTCCCTGGGCATGACGACCTCGAGCTTTTGTGGGTATCCTTGAAGCTGGGCTCTGAAACTTGGCTACTTGGGCTCCTGTATCATCCACCTTCGTCTTCGGCAGCCTTCTGGACCAAGCTTAAGGAGGCCATTGAATAACACCACATAGACGGCTATGATGGATGTTTCATCGTCGGTGACTTCAATGTTGACCTCTGCCCTGCACAGACATCATCTCCCCACCGAACCCGGCTTCTAGACATTGCAGATGACTTCAATCTTGAACAGCTGGTGACGTCTGTCACGAGACCCAACCACAGCCACAACAATTCTAGTCAGGGTTCAATCATTGACTTAGTCTTCACCAACCGTGCTGACCATGTTTTCTCCGTTTCCACCGCCCCCAATCCTGTTAACTCTGATCACCTTGCAGTAAATATTATATTTCGCTCCTCTCAACCTCCCCCTCGTCCTGCAGTTCTACGGTCCTTTCTACAAACACAACGAGGCGATTTTGAACATTTGCGGCAGTTAATACATCTCATTCCCTGGTCTGCCTTCATTGATTCCAGAGACATCAATCAGTCTGCTGATAACTTTCTGATCTTATTTGATGCCGCGATCAGAGATTCCATCCCCAGGGTCACCAAGCGTAGATCCCGATGCTCGGCCTGGATCACTCCTGAACTAAAGAAACTGATCAATAGAAAGCATACACTCTTTAACTTAGCTCGCAGATCCGGCCTCTTGATTGATTGGAATTTGTATAAAACTGTCAGAAATAAGTTGCAAACTTCTGTTCGCAGAGCTTACTGGCTATATGTTAATAAGTTGTTTGAATCTAACGATAACAGACGTCAATTCTGGTCTTTTGTTAGGAGCCGGAAACAATCACCTCCCCCACCGTCATTTAGCCATAACGATCGTAAAATTACCCATCCTGATGAAATTACTTCAGCTTTCAGTGATTATTTTTCTTCTGTTTGTAAACCTTCAGGTCCAGTTCCCCATATCCCTCCTCCTTGCTCGCTACCCATTCCTTGCTTAACGCATATTGATGCATCTGTTGGCCAAATTGCCGCATTGCTTCGAAACCTCCCTTCCAATAAATCCCCTGGACCTGATGGTATTTTGCCTGGTATTCTAAATAAAATTGCCCCTGATATATCTCATCCGCTCAGTTTGTTGTTTGGTGCATTGCTCAATGCGGGAGTGTTGCCGGACACTTGGCGATGCGCCAATATAACACCTGTTCACAAAAAAGGGGATAAGTCTTTATTAACCAACTATAGACCAGTTGCTCTGACATCTGTGATGTGCAAAGTACTTGAGCGAATTATCTCCCAAGCCATTAACGACCATTTAACTACATTTGCCCTCCTCAGCCCTATACAACACGGCTTTGTTAAACACAGGAGCTGCGTTACCCAGCTGGTCAACATTCTCCATTCTTGGTCATCAACCCTGGACAGACGCCGACCTCCCAGAGTGGATGCCATTTTTCTTGAATTGTGGAATTGTGGCATTGGATCCGATCGTTTCTGACTGGTCGCCGGCAGCGAGTACTCTTCCGGGGCGGCATCTCCCCATGGGTGGACGTCACCTCTGGCGTACCCCAGGGTAGCGTACTCGGACCATTGTTATTTAATCTTTTTGTTAATGACATATCCAATTCCATTTCATCTATTTGCGTGTTATTTGCAGATGATATCCTCTTATATCGTGACATACAATGTCCCAATGATCAGGTAGAACTTCAGTTAGATTTAAATAGTCTTAATCACTGGTGTGACCTAAACGATATGACTTTCAATACTAGCAAAACCAAAGTTATGCATATCACTAGAAGCCGCCATGTCAATCCTCCAGTCTATAAACTAGGAAACACCCCACTCATCACTACCAACTCTTATCAATATCTAGGCCTCACTATAGATGCTAATCTCAGCTGGACAACTCACATTTCCTGTATCGTAGCTAGAGCCAATCGCCTTTTAGGGTTTATAAGAACAGTTGCTAGAGGATCCTCCCCTAAGGCTATTTTCGCTTTATACAAATCACTAGTCCTCCCCATCCTTGAGTATGGTTTGCCAGCATGGCACCCGCACACCTCAATTCTACAACGTAAGCTTGAGAAAGTCCAGCGGACCGTTACTCGTCTTGCTCTTGGTCAATGGCGAGGGGAAATGTTGTACGAGGACAGATTGCAGCGGCTTAACTGGCACCCCTTAACCCTGAGACGTAACTATTTGTTATGTTCCTTTGTTTTTAAGGTTTTGTATGGTCTTTCAACATGTGAATCCCTTAGAAGCAACATTGTTATCAACACTCGTCACATTGACTCTCTCACATTCCGCCATCTTCCTGCGCGCACAGATTCGCTGCTTCATTCTCCTTCCCGTCGATTCCCAAGGTTGTGGGATAACATGCTTCCGAGCAACAGTAATTTAGTTTACTTTTGTTGTCCCTGACCCGCTTAATACTGTTGTTTTTTGTGTGGCAGTTTATTCATTGTGTCCTTCCTAAGATTCAGCCCCTTTACTTGCATGCCCCCTCTCTTACCCTCTTATACCCACCTGTTTTTTTCACTGAATCCGTTCTCCATGCTCGTCTGGCTGCCCTCCGCTCATTTGTTCTGTTTTTGCCCTTTTGGCTTTTTGTTGTATTCGGTTATTCGTTCTTTTGTCATTTAATTGTTTACATTTTGTGCCGTTTTGATTGCTTGTTGCTGTTCTGTTGAGGTTGAATAAATAATAATAATAATAAAATAATAACAATGCCTGCTACTTGCAAACAATACTTTATCTGGTCAATACAACAATCAACAGCCACACAGTAGCCACTTGCAGAAAATACTTTATCAAGTCAATACAACAATCAACAGCCACATAGTAGCCACAGCTGTTTGGCAATGCCAGCCATTTGCAGACAATACTTTATCAGGTCAATACAACAATCAACAGCCACACAGTAGCCACAGCTGTTTGGCAATGCCAGCCATTTGCAGACAATACTTTATCAGGTCAATACAACAATCAACAGCCACACAGTAGCCACTTGCAGACAATACTTTATCAAGTCAATACAACAATCGACAACCACACAGTAGCCACAGCTGTTTGACAATGCCTGCCACTTGCAGACAATACTTTATCAGGTCAATACAACAATCAACAGCCACACAGTAGCCACTTGCAGACAATACTTTATCAAGTCAATACAACAATCAACAGTCACACAGTAGCCACAGCTGTTTGACAATACCAGCCACTTGCAGACAATACTTTATCAAGTCAATACAACAATCAACAGCCACACAGTAGCCACAGCTGTTTGATAATACCAGCCACTTACCAACTTGGATCCAAACAAAACTGTCATTGTCGCAAGAGGGCGCAATTTTGTATCTTTATATTTAATATTCATTAAAAAAAATTTGTCAGTGCCGTGTCCCAGGAACCAAAACTATTTCTTAAGTTGAACCTGGTTTGTGACTGTCATCAAATCCTTGGATACAAAAAGAGGGGCCAATCATCACCAAGCAACTACAGACCAGTTTCCCTCACGTGGGTAGCCTGCAAATTACTGGAACATATCTTTAATCACTTGTGTGAAACCCAACTCATAAACACCATGGAAGAAATCCATCGACACCTAGATCAAAATAACAAAGCTCAGATAGATGTGCAGGTGCTGGACTTCAGCAAAGCATTCGACACTGTAGCCCATGAGAGATTACTTCATAAAATAGAACACTACGGGATTAGAGGTAACACCTTGACAAGGATGCTTAATATCTAACCTGATGAAGTTTTGGCTCTATGAATGCTCTATATTTCGAGAAAACTGAACAAACATAACCACAATATTCTGAATCTCCAATGCCAAAGTTGCTGAGTCATATTTTGAATTGCGCCCTCTCATGACACATTCCCCAAATCAGCA